AAAGTAAATTTTATTTTTAATATTAATATCATTTGAAATATTTTAATTGAACAATTGATAAAATTTAAATTTAAATTAATTATTTTTATACAAAAGAATAATAAAAATATATAATAAATAAATCTTAATATGTGTTTTAAGAGTATAGTTTAAAAAATTTTATTAGAAAAATGATATAGATTAAGTGTATATTTATTTTATATTTTTTATATAAATTTATATAACAAATTATGAAAATAAATTTTATTTTTAACACTAAAACTATATAAAATAATTTAATGAAAAGATTAATAAAATTAAAATTATTTTTTTATTTTTATATAATTTAATAATAAAAAATACAATAAATATGTGCAAGAAGCACATGATAAAAAAATTTCTTTAAAAAATCGAGTAGCTACTAATACAAATTGGGTAGATTGGAATCATTAGGGTGTAAATAATGGAGCTTTGAGAGGCGAAATTGATTATTAAACCATCATTGTAGGCATTAATTTGAAGTCGACATGGCTCCTTAAAACCACCAAATAAAACCCCTTGAATGCCGAAACAAACGGATGAGAGTGTGAGACCCGAAACGAGGGTGGTGGGGCCCGAACGCAGACCGAAGCGCCTCGTCGACAAGACCCCGGGAAAGGGGCGCCAGAAGCAGAGATCTTCAATGGTGGGAACTGGAAACAGCAGAGAAGAAAAATTCAGTTGCTACTTACTGTAATAAAAACGAGCCGAAATTAAAAAAAAATAAAAAAAAGGTGGTCCCCACTTAACCACACGTTTCTGTGTTGTAATAATCCCATTATCACGTGGGGACCACGAGGGGGGAAACAGGAAAAAAGTTGCGGAGTACACGTGTCGGGGTAAAAAGCGACTTACGTTTCACAAAACCCGGATGCTTAGGCCTTAATTATCGAAACTGACAGCGTCGGCAGAGAAAAAAAAAAAAGGACAAGCCTCTCTCTGCACAACCAAGCCAAATCATAATCGAGTATCCAAACGTGTTCTTAGTAAAAAAATTTTACTCGTGTAAGAATAAAAATTTAAAATGTAGGAAAACATCATTATTAATACAAAGGTTTTTTTATTTTGATTGTATAATAAATAATAATTATTTTTTATTTTTTATTTCATTTTACTTACATATCATGTGACTTAAATTTAAAATTTTTTATTTTCGATGAAAAAAAATTACTATTGAATTATTTAAACAGTTGATTATTATTACAAAGTATTAAATATTGAATTTGATTAACTTATATCTTTAAAAAGTATTAATTATATTTGAATAAGGTATTTGGATCTAATGATTTATTTTTAAATTTTAATATTTAAATTTAATTAATTAAAATTTTGATTTGTACTAATTATTTAAAAAATTCTCTATTCTTATACAATTTCTCATGTTAAAAACAAGTAGTAATTATATTTTTATAATTAATTTTAAATTTGTTAAGTATCTAAGTAAAATTATTTTAGTAATATTGATCTTAAAAATAATATATTATTTTTTGTATTTTTTTATAAAAATATATTATAAAATAATATAATTAATGTACTTTAACATTAAATAAATCCTTAAATATATTAATTGGACAATGTTTGGGTGGGGAATCTTTGAAATTCCTATCATATCCTTGAGATGCTGTTTTTGTCGGAGAATATAGTTTTGTTGAATACAAAGATGATCGGTATCCAAGGTGCCTTTCCATTATTTTACATTTACTTTCACTCTTATATATGGCGGTTAAAAGAAATTATTGGAAAATTAAGGATTCCAACCTCCTTTTTTTATCTCCTTTTTGTCAATACCAGTTTTTAATATAAAAATTCCCCCTAGATTGAATCAGTTCTCCAATTAAAACTGAAATTGGAAAATT